CGACAATATATGAAGGTCCTACACTACAAGGAAAAACTAAACATGAAGAAGTAGAAAAAAATGAGCTGGTAGCCACAATTATTCAACTTCTTTTGAACTATTTTTATAATACAAAAAAATTTTTTTTATTTTTCGATGGTTTCGATGAAATTCTTCCACATTACAAAAATGAATTTATGAATTTGATAAAAGCTCTTAAACTAGCCAAACTCAATAAAATATGGGTAGCTACACGACCTTATAATATTGTAACTCTACTTGAATATGAATTAAATGTTTTCTGTTATTCTTTAACATCATTTTCTTATGATGATCAAATTCATTATTTAGAAAAATATTGGAAAAAAAATTTAAATCTTGGAGAAATTGATAAAAATCGTTTTGAAATTTTTACAAGTTATTTAATGCAAAAAATGGAAAGCAAAGATTTCTTATCATTTCCTTTACATATTTATTTAGTTGCAAAAGTATTTCAGAATTTATTTGAACAGTTTTATAATTCGGAAATGGAAATTTTATCAATTGAACAAGAGAAAATTCTTAATGAAAACTCCAATATATCAGCATTATATAAAAATTTTATTAAATTAAAATTTAATATACGTTTTGAAGAGAAATTAATTAGTGTAAATATTGATACACCAGAAATGCAAGAAATTATTGAAGAAAAATACACAAACTTTATTAACGAACATAGACAATTAGCACTTTTTGAGATATTTGATAAAGATTGGTTAAACAAAATACTACCATCTGAAGATATAAGTAAAACATTACAAATAATAGAAAATATTAAAGTAGGAAGTGAAAGAACAGGAATTGTTATAAATATTATTAATGAACAACCACGTTTTATACATCGAACATTTATTGAATATTTTGTTTCAAATTATTTTTGGAATAAATTTCAATTATTAGATATTAATGAAAGTGATAAATCAATTGATTATATTGAATCAACAATATTGCCATCTTTAATTAACACAGATGAAAGGAAAGTAACAAAATTTTTTCAATCTGAAATTAAAACAAACCTGCAAAATAATATTAATTTTAATAAAAGAGAAAAAAAATTGAATATTTTAGCAAAGCATATAATTGAAACTGCTTATACACATAAAACTTATAATCTATCAATTATGTATTTAGTAAAAATAGTAGAATTTTTAATATCACCGAAATATACAAATCATTTACAAATTATAGAAAATTTGGAAAATTTAACAAATTCACAAAAAGAGATATTAATTATGATATGTACTAGAATGGGATATGAAAAACTTCTCAAAATTTTATATGAAAATCTTAATGAAGAATACTTGAAAAATTCTTTGCAGAAAACTGAATGGTACAAAAGTGCATTATGGTTCGCTGCTGAAAATCGTAATATAAATATTTTAAAAGAATTATTAAAAAAACTAAATATAAATTGGAAAGATAGTACTAAAAAAAATTTTACTCAAAGTATATTCATAAAAAATCGCTCTAATATTCTTGAATATTCTTTAATGACAAATGAAATGCATATTAATTGCATTTATCAAAATGATTCTAACAATAATAAACATGTTTTAGCATTAGCAGAATCTCTGAAAAAGGGATATTCATCGGATATAATTAGACTCTTGATTGAAAAATCGAATATCGATTTAATTAATAAATTTATATGCTTAGATTTAGAAGCATTCTTTTATATTAATTTAGGTTTATATAATCAAAATGACGATAATCTAAAACTAGCTATTGAAAAAAATATTGATTTATCTGAATTAATAAATTTATTGTTTTTTGATTTCATTCACAAAAGTTTAGGAAATACTACTGAATGGTTTCAATATTTAGGTGACCCAACAAATATAGACGAAGAGCATTTATTTAGTAAAATTGAATTATTATTAAAATTCGGTATCGCATATAATAATAAAAATATAAAATATGAAAAAACAACTTTACAATATACTGAAATAATGTTTTATATAAATAAATTTTATAATGTTATATATAAATTATATAATAAAGGAGATAATAGTCCATATAAATTATTAAATGTTATTTTAAAATTAATAATTAATGTTTGTAACATTAATAATATTTCAAATACAATTAATTTTTATGAAATAAATTTTAGTCCTAATAAAATATCATTAATTTTTAATAACTATGGTGATATATCAATTGTGCCTGATTATGCAGCAGAATTAATTTTTAAATGTTATAAAGAAAATAATATTGATTTTGTAAATGAAATTTTAAATAGATTTCATTTTTATGTTAACAATATTGATCCAAAGGACACTAATAATTTAAGTAATATCGATCCAAAAGATATTGAATACAATAAATATCGACATTTTTTTAAATTTAAATATATTTTAAAAAATTATTCATATAGAGAAATGCTATATTTAATAGAAAAATGTTTTATTAAACAAAATTTAAATGAAAATCAATATTTCAATATATTTGTACGTAGATTACTTGCGCAAGTATTAGTATTAGTGGTTCAACAAAATTGTGATATTGGAAATGCTACAAATATTATTACTGAAGAAATAAAAAATTCAATAACTTTTATTGAAAGATTAAAAAATATTAAAAAATTAAAAAATAATTTTAATGAAGTATTTTTAATAAAAAATATTACATATGATGAAATAATTGATATACTTGACATAAAAAATATAAAAATAGATACGAATTTTGAAAATGATTTAAAAGAAAATGATTGTCTATTAAAAACGTTTGAATGTGAAGCATTTAAATTATTAAGTGATTTTTGTTCAAATATTTATTCAATAGGTGCTAAAAATACCATTAGTATTATAAAATGGAATCTTAAATTTTCTAATAATATATCAAATATTTTCAATTTATTAAATGAATTTAATAAAATTTATGATGATCTAATGAAATTTATAATAATTGAAAATGAAGAAAATGTAAAAATTACTTTAGAAAATACAAATAAAGAATATATTAAATCAATTATTAATAATCAAAATGATAAATATGGTACACCATTACACTATTCAGCTAGTAAAGGTATGGTTGAAATCACAAAAATATTATTAATATATGGTGCAAATCCAAATCATAGAATAAAAAAATCAAATTCAAATGAATTATTTTTAAATAATATTAATTTGATTAATAATGAAAATTATTATCTTAAAGGATATTTACCATTAGATTTTGCAATAGAAAATAATCATAATGATATTATTCAAATATTATTACCATATCAAAATAAAATCAATGTAATAGAATGTAATTGCTATAATGAAATAATTTCAGATGATAATTTTGTTTACAATATCCAAGATATGTTAAAATTTCTTCAAATAAATGATGAAGTTATAGTTAATAATACAGATACTAATGATAAAATATCTAATATAAATCAAAATTATTTTGCTTTTAATGATCCAAAAACGAAATTTTATTTAAATTTAGGTGAATTAATAACATATATTCCAATAAATGTCTTTGAACAACCAGGAAAATTATACGCTTCTAAAGCTTTTTTAAAACAAAAATAATATCCCAAATATATATTAAAGTACTTGACATAGCTATGTAAAATTATTTTAAGGTAATATTAAAAAATACATTATTTATGTATGTAGTATTTGTATTTAATAATAAACATAAAAATTTAAAATATAGCTTTAAAAATATATTTTGTTTTTTGTTTGTTGATCATATTATAATTACATACATATGTTATTGATCACATTATAAATATTTATTTATAATATAATTTTAAACAATTCTTTTAATTATAGACAGCTCCTGAAATACTTAAGTACAAATTTTATTATTGATGTTATTGTTAAGAGAAATTTTTCATAATTTGGTGGTTTCAAGATAAGCTCACCATTGGACAATAATCATTGGTGCTTAATATTTCAGTAAAATATGCTGTCAATAACCATGCATGAAAGCAGCAAGAAATGTTTTTATACGATCTAATGGAAGTGAATCCTACAAAATACTAAATTTAAAATAACATAAAATTTAACTAATATTATTATGTTAAGCAAATGTTATATGCAATTTCAAAAGACAACTTGTTGAGCTAAATAATTACTCCCTATCTTAGTTTAGCTTAGTTAGTTTGTTTTCATTTATTTATTTTTAAACATTAGTTACAATATAAAAATTATAATCAATGCAATATAGCACCAAGCTACCAAGGCTATCAGCTCTACTTTAGTTTTAAATAAATAATATAGCTAATAAAATCAATTTTTTTTTAAATACGTACCTACATATAATTTTACAAGTCCAAGCAACTTATGTACATATTTGAGTAACATCGCTTACAATTTTAATTTTCTTTTCTTCTCAATTCCTGCCACATACGACAAAAGGTCTGGGAAAGCAAAAAAAAAACTAAATTTTATTAATTTAATAATAAAATTTCAAAAGAAGAAGATACAAAGTTATTCGCACTTAAATAGAATATTCTTTGACAAGTCAAAGTCATTCAAAACATACTTTTTAATCTTTTTGCTTAAATATGCTGCAAAAAATAGATTTTTCAATTCAAAAAAAATATTTTTGTTGCCAATATCATTCACAATATACTTCCAGAACATAATTTTATATACACGTAATATTTAAAAGAATATTTTTGAACGTAATATTTGTAACCGTTAAAATATCGTAAACGATATTATTTTGACAAAAAACAATATGGCAATACTATTGACATTTTACGTGAAATGTCTTTTAAGTAAAATGTCAAAATACTGAAAACAAGTATAAAGGTCAGTTAAACGTCAAAAATTCAAGTAGGCAAAGAATAGCTTGTTTTTTTCCTTTCGTTGTAAAATGCTCACAATTTTGTTTTTAGTTTAATTTAAAGCTTCTAATCGTGTGGAATAATATTTAATGGAAAGAAAAGAAAATAAAAGATAATTTTGATTGCCATTAATTTATTTTCAAGAATTCAAAATTTTTAGTAAAAAATATCATTTGCAATTAAAAATATTTTGTAAATTTTCAATTAAAATTAAAGGAACTGCGCCAAAAAATTATTCAAACATAATTATTAAATTTTAAATAAAAACATTTTAGAATAATAAAATAAAAAACTACATAGCTACATATTACATATTTTATGTATGTGGAATTTTGTTATATTAAAAAGTGAAAACCTCATTTAAGTACATTGATCTAAGTAATTACATAGAAAATAAACAAAAAAGAAAAAAACCAGCCCCCAAAGTATATAAAACAAAAATAAAAATAAACTTTGTATGTAACTTTATATATGCATAAATTTATGTGTATGTGCCTAAAATTATCAACTTGTTTTGGAAAATAAAAACAAGAATAATATAAACATTAAAAATTTACAAAAAATTTAATGAAAGGAATTTTTAATTGCTACTAAAATATATTTAATTATATTCATTAACTAACTAGAAAGACAAGTAAAAAAAAAAATTGAAGAGTGGAAAAATGGATGTCTGCGGAATATTTTACGGTGATTCTAACATGACATACGGTTCAATGCGAAGTGGTTTATATCGGGATTATGAACAATTTCCATATGGAACTTTGGAGAATACAAAAACTTTTCCGTTCAAGGATTCTTATAGTAAAGTTAAAGGTACATACTTAAAAAAATTCATACATTTTAAGCACTACTTATTTAACATTAATTTCATTTTAGAATTAAATATTAGTATACCAGATATTTTGCAGAATTAATATTTTTTTTATTACAACTTTTCAAATCTTTTTTGTTTTTACAACATTACCAAATAAAATCTTGAAAAGTGTACATATATAGAATTTCCACGTAACAAAAGTTAATATTCACGTAGATTATTTTTACACTTATACATATTGATAAATAAAAGTAAAAAACAAAGTGCCTTTAAGTAGGTAGGTATATCTGCTCACTCTAATTCTCGTACATCCATGTACAATGTATCTAAGTATAAGTGGTAATAAACATAAAGATTTACCTACCCAAATATCAATCTGCCTACATGCATTTTTGTTTTTGAACTCTTTTGTATATCTTGACCATATTACCATGGCAAAAACAGTAAATAATGTAATATAATATAGGTATGTGTGTGCATACCTATATATCTATTTACATTTTATTTTGTATATGTATGTAATTTCAAATTAATGAACCAATTTTTTTAGGAGGTTGAAATGTAAACAAAAAAGTTGTAAACAAAAATATTTATCTTTTAAATTAAAAAACAAAAATAATGAACATGACAAAATTAAAAAAACATTTCTACAAAATTCTAAAATATCTTTGTTCATTCACAAAATATTCATAACTTATAAATAAATATTATTTTTATAGTATGTAAACTTATCTATGTGGCACATATTTACATATATGTACTTATATAAATATACCTAGGTATTTATCACATTTAAAATTGAAATGCGTTGCATTTAATATTAAAGATAAATTTATAAAATTGAAACAGTAAAAAAAAGCTAAGTACATTGTATTTAATAAATGAATCAGACAGACAATAATGAGTTCAAACAAAAAAGGTGTGTTATTTTCGCGATATATTTATGAATTCATTCTGCGACTTAATTAATATAAAATCATTTATATGTATGTAAGTACTTGAGTAGGTATTAGCAACAAAGGTATTTACATGTCCATTCTAAAAAAAATATCTCAAGTAAAAAAAATTTTAAAACGCAATTAAATTATAGTTATTTTTTAGTTAATTAATTCGTTGTGATCGGGTACATATTTTCCACCTTGATTAATAAAAAATTTACGCTTTATGAAATGGTGGAGTACTGCAATATTTAAATTACTTATATAAAAAAAGTTTTAATAGTTATTTGGTTAATGCTAAAATTGGATATTTTCGATAATAAATTTTAATTGAATCTTAATTTAGAAACTAAAATTAACAGTATTTTAAGGAAATAAGGTAAAGACCAAAATATTCGACGCAGAAAATTACTCATAAATGATGATATAGTAATTGAGTCACATAATTTTGTATAAGGATTTTTTTTATTACTTACATATATTAAGCAAACTACGTTATTAATAATATAAAGACTTCTCTTCTATAAGGGTTTGAGATCTTTCTTGGTTAATTGGCCTATAAAATTTTCAATAAATTTCTCTTTTAATTTAATAATATTTTTAGTTTCTTCTTAACGGTAATATCAATTTTTAATCCGAAAGATTATTTATTAATTGGTAGTAATTTTTGAATGTCCCTACCATAAGTAATCTTTTCCGAAATATAAAATTCTTTATTTGATTAAAGCTTTGAAAAATCAAAATGCAATGAATAAATTTATATAATAAATTGAAAAATAAAGCAAAAAAAAATATTTATTAATCTAAAAAATAAATAAATAAACCACAAGCGAAGGTAAATATGCATATATAATACATATGTACATATGCGTGTATATTTTTATATATGTATGTATAGAAAATTAAAAGCATAATATTGCGATATCTAAAAATAAACCACACGTTATTAACTTTTTTTTGTATGTAAATTATCATATATATGTACGTATATATATATATATATAATTTCTAATATGATCATACCTATAAAGATCTTGAGTGTTTTGTTTACTACTTGAATAATTTGCGCTTAGTATTAAAAATATCAGTAATAAGTTATCATTTTTCTTTTTTATTTAAAATCAAATTAATCCCAATGTATATTTTGCATACAAATATATACCTTATTTTATACTTTATACTTAAGTGTACAATAAAAATTATAAATACTTGATAATAATGTAAAGCGGGTGATTTTTTCCCAATCTAGTTTTTCATATTTTTTATATTCTTGACAACTTATTGTTGAAATAAGTTGACGGTTTGATTTTTCGCTTAACCAATGGAAGACAAATAATATTTATTACATTAATATTTATTATAATATAAATTATTGAATTATTTAACTACATAACTAAAAATTATTGAACATTTGCTAAGCAACCATCAAATGTTTTGATTTGGTGACCACCGAAATTATGTGATTTAATCATTCTACATTTCTTTCTTTGAGAATTTAACGTATTCTTCTGCATATTCATACGGTATCGTAAACTTTTAGAAGCAATTCAACTAAATTCTGATAAAATTTATTTCGAAATTTATTATCGTATTTCGGATGTACCATTTAAAATGGAATCGTGTCCAGCTTTTACATAAAATTTCATTTAAAAAATGAATGGCAATTAACCGATTGATTGAGTCGAATAAAAATTAAATGAGAATTTGCATTTTTTTAAATTTAAAAGCCATATGCTTAAAAAAAAATCACCTATTACAACTTGTTTGTACATATTTGATATTCAAAACGTGCTTTGAATTCAAAATGAATTTTATATTATAGTAATATACCTGTATTGGACTGCGAATTTAAATATTATTTTTGCTGTTTATAAAATTATACATAAAAATAATAATATCAAAGTATAAAAGTATTATATGTATACATACTAGGTAAAAGCAATAAAATAATTATAAGTTTAAGAGTTGTTTAAATTTTTTTGCTTTTATCTAGCTCAGAAATTTTAATCAAATATTTTAATCTCTTGTTTTTGAAGGTTCGGTTTTTTAAAAAATTATTTTTTATTTCAACATAATTTCCACATAACAACTTAATAATATTTTTCGTAAATAAATATGTAAATATTTTGCTATTTTATTTCGACTATGAAAAAAAATAAAAATATTTTGGGTGCAATTCATAATTTTTTTTGTCCCATTTAAGGTGAAAAGACTTCTGATAGCAACGAATAAAACTTGGAGAATACATACTTAAATTAAAATAGTTGTTAATGACTGAAATGCTCATAAGTAGGAAATATAAAATTAATTAAAAAAATAATTTATAATAATTTTAAACCCTTTTCATTTAGATATAAGTATGTACATGTATGTAGTACCCTTGCATACAAATAGCAATAATATTTGATTACTTAATTATTATTTAAATATTATTTTATGAAAACGTAAATAATATATAAATATATAATTAAATTTACAATTCTAAACATTTTATATTTTTATAAAATAAACAAAAATTAAGTTATTATAGATTGAAATAATCATATAGAAAAAATATGAAACATGTATACTTGTTAAAATTTTTAAGTATGCAGATGAGAACCTGACCTTTGTAATCATAGTAAGTACGTTTAACATTTGTTAATTGATTACCATATCAACTATAAATTATTATTATGCTTATATTTTTTATAATAATAAATGTGATTATACTGTTAATTACACAGTTTTAATCAGATGTTTATTTATTAAACTTTATTCTTTTGATTAAGTATTTAAAATAAATAAAGATTGTATAATTTTCTTTTTTAAAAAAAAAAGGCATAATTTAAAAATTTTATGATTATTATTGATTATCGGACAAAGTTTGGAATGCGACAATCAAATTTATCTTAAGTAATTATAATTAATGGAAAGTTCGGCCGTTTACAAAACTTAATGTAAAAATATGAATTAGCAGCGCTGAAATAAACTAAATCAAAATAAATTCTTTATAAAATAAAAAAATAAATAAGATCAAAAATATAATTTTGTTGATATTTTTAAGCTTATTTTGCACTTTTATTAAATATTTTCTTAAATATACTATTTATAACTTTACACAAGGTTATTTATTATTCTGTAAGAAAAATATTTTGTATTATAACATTCAGACCTACATACATATATATATTAACATATTAACATTGAAATATAAAAATTTTAAATTTTTATCAAAAAAAAAACAGAAACTATTTTTGAACAAAACCACCAAATTAATTCGGTGATTTATAAGGTGAGACGCATAGAAATCAAAAATGAATTCGTGAATGATTACAAAAAAGTAAAATTTCAATTTTAGTTTACATTTTTATTTTATATAAAAGTTATCAAACAATATTTACACACAAAAATAAAGTAAATAAGACTATGTGGCTTTTTTATTATTGCTTAATTTTATATATGTGTGTACAACACGCGTTTGATAATCGAAAAAGAAATGAAAATAAGCAGCAGTCTCTTGTTGTATTTTCAATATTAAAATAAAAGCAAGAATAATAAAATGTTAAAATGAATACGTGAATTTTCGCACATAAACAAAAAATTAAAGAAAATATGAGCATACAAACAAAATTTTCTATATTTATGTAGGTTATAATATTGAATGAATAAAAATATAAGGAAAGAGCGTGCGTATAGTGTAGTAAATTTTTAAATTTAGTTTTATATTAATAGCATATGGTTATATTTATAATTTTCTGGTTTCAAAAGGAAATAAAGTTACCAGGCATGTTGAACTCAGTAAAAATTAATAAAGTATTATTATTAAAAAATTATATAGAAATTTCTGTTAATAAATTTAAAAATGGTAGACTCAGCTTTTTATAACAACTGTTTAATAGCAAAAATAACTTTTGTGCAGGCGAAGAAATAGAATTAATTACAACATTAAAATACAATTTAAAAATAATATATTAAAATTGTTTGAATAATACATAAAATTTTAAAGTATTCGTGAGAAAAAGGGAACGACATGCAGTACGACCAGATAATTGCAGCCTAAGCTACATAGATCTACATCT